ATTTTGAATACGATTATATTGCTCCTCTAATTCTAATTTTCTTTTTGTTTGTTCCTGATGAAATCTAATATAACAAACATTATTGAACATGAAATATGAAAATATATGTTATGAATAAAATATAAATAAATATATAGCATATATTTAAAATATATTTTTAAATATATATTTACTTTAAATTTCCTTGTTCATATTGACGTATATTCGATATGCCAATATTATTACAAAAATCTTTAAAAATCATATCTTCAATATTCATAATGGATTTTTCTATATTTTGAATTTCTTGATTTTTCTCCATCATAATGTCTTTAATTGATGCTATATTATTCTGAATAATATACCATAAAAAAAGATGCAAATTATTTATATGAATAATATTTAAAATTATTAATATGATAAAAAAATAAATTTATTGCTATTATATAATTTATAACAAATGAAAAAAATGTTAAACTTGATAAAACGAATGCTTACGTTTATTATATCTAGTTCATTTTGAATAACTTCTATTTCATGTTGAAGCGTGATTATTTTTTTTTTCTGAAGAAAAATTTAATTATTGAAGAAGAAAATATATACAATAAGAAATTGAAGATATTGAAGAAGAAAATATAAAATAAAGAAATTAAATATATCATTTTATTAAAAAATACTTACATGATCGTTTAAGTCAGATGTAGAATAGTTTATTCTACTTGTGAAACTCTTAATTTGTATATTTAAAGTATTTATTTCAGATTCACTTTGAGAAATTTTAATTTTTTCTCTTAATTGCTCCATTAATATTACCTAAATAAATTAGAGATTATAAGTATCATAAAATTAATTTATTAATAAAAAAATGAATATTTGAAAAACCTTTTTTGATTTTAATTGGATTAAGTTTTGCTCATTCCATATTTGAGCTTTTTTTAATAGTTCAACTTCTCCTCCAGAAATTATACCGTCTTTTTTATAATAAGTTCCATCTAATGCAACGCACTATAATATTATAAATTAAATGATATAATTCAATTAAATGATAAAATAGTAACAAATCGGTATGAAATAGCAAAAACATCGCATAGAAGTAACAAAAAATTTCAAGAAAAATAATTAAGTTTTATAAAATTATATTCATTCTTACGTTGATTCTATGATATGGATTAATTTCATATGCAAGTATTCTTGCATCTTCTGGTGTTTCACAAACAATGGTATTTTTAGTTACAAATAAAATAGCATTATTAATTTCTACAAGTTCAAACTTAAGTACATCATATAAAAGTTTTACATTTTTTGGTTCAGTAATTCCACTAAAATAAAAAGTCATGAAAACATTAAATGATAATATGTGTAGATTTAATGTAGAAATTATATATTTTAAAATATAATTATAAATAAAAATAAAAAAAAATTTATTTTTCATATTTTGATTATATTAATAATTAATTACTTATCATGAAAATATATAGATATAGCATGAAAAATAATGTAAACGCTTGTTTCGAATTCAAGCTGTTTCAGAATTCAGCTTTGCATTTTTGAAACGAAGTGAATTAAATGTAGAATATTGCATATAATTCAAATACTTAAAAGATACATATTCAAAGAATAATTATTTTTTGCTTAATTTAAATCGATAAAATAATTAATTTTCAAGTTAGAATTATTTCATGTAATTAATTTTGTATGCAATTATATTATATATCGTACCGTAATATTTCTTTTATTGGTTCTACTTTTAAATTTTCTACTGGTAAAAAAGTTTCAGATCCTATTTGTTGTTCCTTTAAATAATTGATACATTGTATTGCTACTTTATTTGTAGATACAATAATAGAATTACAATATTTTCCTAAAACTTTTGTCATTGCAATATGATATCGAGAATGAATAGGTTTACATAGATTATATAAACGACCATACTGAAATTTAAACATATTTTTTTATTACTTTATAAAGAAAAATATAAATAAATGTAATAATATGAATTTATTATACATTTTAATGCATACCACACCAGAAAAAAGATTTTGCAAAATTTTAATTGTTTCTGTTTCTTTATTTAAATGCAAAATTGTGAATTTATCTATTTTTGCACAATCAAGCTGTTCACATATATATTGTAATTCTAATTGTATAGTTTCTACATCTTTTTTTTGTTGAGTAATTATATTTTCTAAATTATTTTTTATGTTTATTTTATCAGTTAACATGTCCTGAATTTCCTTCATACATTGTTGAATATTTTTTATACGTTTCTCAGTTTCATCTTTTAAAATAATCTTTTGATTTAATTTTGTTTCTAAATCATATTTTTTTCTATTTTCATTATCTAATTTATTTTGATTTATATTTTGCTCGCATTTAAAAGAATTACATGTCTGTACATGTTTTGAACATTTTGTCTCAGATATTTGTTTTAAACGAAAATATTCATTTATCTTGGAAAAAAAATATAAATTTTATTTTAATGAATTTTTTATAATTTGAACTTATAATAATAAAAACATATAAAATATCTACATTTAGATCTAATAGCAAATTAATATATAAGCATATGATAAACTATTTTTTTATATAATATTCTACAGTAAATTATATATTATATAAAATTATTCTTTAAATATAACAATACTTGTATATCATTGAGTTCAATGCTATCTTGAGATAATAATTGAGTTGTTATATTTTCTTCAAATATATATTTTGCATGTTCAATTTGTGTTAATTCATTTTTTAATTCTTTTATTGTTTTTATATGAGATTCTCTATATTTTTGTGTTTCTAATAATAATAAATTTGTGGAATTGAGTTTTTGTTCCCAGTATAAAACTTTTTCTTTTGATTCTATTAAATTTGTTTCTTTTTTTCTAACATTATTTTTTACATTTATAAGATTTTGTTCAATATTTTCTATAACTTTATTTGCAATTTCTAATTGCTCTTTTCGTTCTTTTAAAAAACCGCTTTCAATGCTTTTGTTTCTTTCATATTCAATTATTTTAGATTTCGTAATATTCAATGTAATTTCTAGATCTTGAATATCTTTTTGAATATGAAATAATTCAAAAAGATATAATTCTGTTTTATTCTTTAACTAAAAGATAAAATAAATTATTTAAAT